TACTAGTGAGAGCTTCTCCCCACTCTTCAAGCCACACCCCAATTTGTTCTACGTCCTTTTGCTGCAGCTCTTTTTCCCCAGCCTGGAAGTCAGAGAATCATGAAGTGCCTTGGATACCCCTTACTGCACATGTCCCAGGAACATGGCTGGCATGATGGGAATATTCGTGCTGGAATATTCCTCCGTGGTGGAGCCACCAGAGAGAGCTTTTCCCCCCTCCTTGTGCTGCACTGCAATTTGCTCTACGTGCTTTTCCTACAGCTCTTTTTCCACAGCCTGGAAGTCAGAGAATCATGGAATGCCTTGGATACCCCTTCACTGTTGTCCTGTTCTCTAGGGATGAAGTGAATAAGGCCTACAGGAAGCTGGCAGTGCTCCTGCATCCGGATAAGTGTGTGGCTCCTGGCAGCGAGGATGCCTTCAAAGCCGTGGTGAATGCCCGGACAGCTCTCCTCAAAAATATCAAGTAGGGATCAGAGCTGGAAAACTTCCCCTCTTCCCAGCTCCCAGCCCATGGGACACCCCTCTCCTCCTCACACTGCCCAGTGGCATGGACACAGACACTCCCATGGGATGGCAACATGCTGGGATGTGTTGGGAAGGGGATGGAGTGTTGAGCAGGGAGAGGGATCCTGGAGTCCTCCCTGTATCCTTGTCGTGAGGCTGTGGATGGTGTAAGTGCTGGAAGCAGGGAGATGCCCACCTTCCTGGCTATGTTCCTGGGAATTCCGAGCCGTGGATGTGTGGCTGTAAGCTGTGGATGGGCAGAGGGAAGTGCTGTGCCTGCAGGCATTGGTGTGGTGAGTGGAGGATTCCCCGGAGGGAAGTGAGGTGTCACTCCTGGGTTATCCCAGAGCTTCCTGTGCCATGCTGGAATTGAGGAAGTGACAGAGACACTGCTGGGAAGGTTCAGCATCCTGGGAAAAGCTGGCTCCTTCCAACACTGCTGTTGGCAGGGAGGAGGAAATGCTGCTTGAGGAAACCTAGAGAAACTGCTCCAAGAGTGTCCTTTCCCCTTTTCCCAAGCCAGGAATGATCCCTTTGGCAGGATTAGGACTCTCCCCCAGGCACACACTCCCTTAGCACAGCACAGAGTCACTTCCCACCCCCTCCCTAGGGAATGTGGAGCTTCCTAGCTTCTTGGGAAGATCCCTAAGGCAGTGATCCTTTGCTCCAAGTACTTGGGAAGCATCATGTCTGGCTGGGAAGATCCTGAGGGAGAGCAGAGTTGGGATTACTGCTAGGGAATACCAAACAGGTGATCCCATGGTTCTATCAGGACCCAGGTTTTTTTCCTTGGCCTGGAATATCAGGACACTATGGAATTACTAATAGATCCTTCCCTCCCCTTTTTGGCAGCACTTTGAATCCAGAATCCTTTTGCTCTTCCTCTGGTTTCTGGGAAGAAGCAATAAGCTATCCTAGTGGGATGCACTTTTTCCTCCTCTGGTGTAGGAATAACCAAGAAAGATATTGCTCTTAGAGGTTCATATTTAAATTAGCATTTTCCCTCTCCCAGATGTATAAAAAAATGGACTGGGATCCATCAGGTCTTGGAATTGGAGCAAGTGACACTGACAGGATCTTGTTCCACACATCATGGAATTCCCTGGAAACCTTGTCTAGTGGAGAAAACCACTTAATTCTGGCTTTAAACCTATTTTTCCAGTATTTATTTTCCATAGAGGAGGGTAAATCCTATTGCCAACTGCTGCACTTCCCATTGAGGCTGAGATCTCCATGCTGGAATGGTTTGCAGGCTTCTCCTGTTCCTGCTGCTCTCCAGGTGTGTTGATCCAGGCACATTCCTTCTTGTTTGCTCCTTAGGTGGCTCTGGCTGACAGTTGTGAGCATTCTCCTGTGTGTTTATGGATCTAGTTGGATATTTGGAGCCA